TTATTCTTTAAAATATATTTAGAATTTATTAGGGTCGAAAATAGAGGAAAAAATATGATGTTTTGTATATAGGAGATGAGAGTATATTTACCTTGCGCTATTTCTCATATCATTTTGTTTAGGTTAGTAAATGTTTAATTGTTTTTGCCTTAAAAATTTTGTAAACATTTGATATATACTCACATGTAAGTATGTAGGGTAAATCAGTCCAATCTCATCCTATCAAGTAACAGAGGCCTTAACTGTTTGTACAAAAAAAAAATGCTCTAACTGTGTGATAATGCAAATTTATAAGTTGATATATTCCAACACATATTCCCTTGATGCATTTATAACATGGTATATTCAACATATTCCCTTAATCAGTTCAACCAACACTATTCACTGTTAACTTCCCATGAAAAATGTTTCTTTGTTTGAACATTTTCCCTAGCACCTGTTAAATTAAAGGAGGAAAAAAAATAAATGTAATTATCTGGTAGAAAATTTTTTATATTATAGGCTCTCGAAATTTATTTTTCCCTCTAGTTTTTTCTTCCAATTTATAAAGCAGATGACCATCACAACTCACAAGTTCACAACATAAAAGATGAAACTACAATAATACAATGCAACTGATTAAAACATCCAAACCAGTTACCACAGCACACACACATCATTCCATAGATCACAAAACCATAAAAGAAAGAGACAAGAACATAACTAACAGATCAAATAACATGGGTAACACACATGTCCATATCATCATCATCATCAAAACAAGTCATCCATGTCCACATCATCATCATCATCACCATCACCATCCTCCATATTCTCAGCCAGAAGCCACTCCTCAAACTCATCCACCTCCTCAACCTCCTCCCCGCCATAAACATCGCTCGTCTCATCCCAGTGATCTGCCCCGAGCTCCTCCCCGCGCGTCACCACGTGCACATATGGCCTACCCCTCGCCAGCTCATCCACCATCTCTCGATTAACAAAACCCGTCACACCCAGCCACCTCAGCCTCGGGAAATATGGCCTCTTCAGCCACCGGAACGAAAGCTGCGTAATCCCACCACAGTTGTAAACATCCAACAACCTCAAAGTGCTCCCGCACCAAACCCTCTCGTCTACCCTCATCGAAGCCAATGCCATAACCGACGTGTCCCCGATGAGCTGGCACTGCCTCATCCGAAGCTCGGTTATCGGGACCCGACTCCTCGCCAGCTGGAGCACTCCCGCATCGGAAATCCTCGGCAGGTTCGAGAGGTCCAACACTCTGAGCTCCGGATTCGAATTCCCGTCGAACAAGAACGAGATGCACCTGTCCGTGAGCCTCTTACAACCACGCAACGATAAAGAAACGAGGCTCCTCATCGAGCCCTTGCTCAGATACGAGATGCCCAAATCGGTTACATCACAGCCATCGACGAGTAAGGTTTTTAGCTTGGGAAGGCTGTTGATGGCTCGGAGGGCCTCGTCACCGAGGCTTTTACAGTCCCGAAAGTCTAGCGTGAGGAGGTCCCGGTTGGACGCCACGCGGGCAATGGACGAGTTGGTCAACAGGTGGCACCAACGGAGGCCGACGTCGGTTAGAGAAAGTGACGTGGCAGAGATGTCGTGGAATACGAGGTCGGTTAGGTGGGTCCCGTTGAAGACTCGGAGCTTTAAGAGCTTCGAGCATGAGTGGAGAATAGTTCGGTAGCCCGTGTCGGTGACCTGGCAGAAGCCGCCGAGGCAGATGCTCTCCATGGACGAGCACTTGTCGGCCATGAGGAGGATACCGAGGTCGTTGACTCGTTTGAAGTATGCAGGGGAAATTTCTTGACTTCTGATTAGGCTGAGGTGTTTGAGTTTGCCGTGAGAGTTTACTTTTTGGAGGCCGGTGTTCGTGAGGTCAAAGGCCATGCGGGGTTCCATGATGGGGGAGTCGCGGAGATCGAGGTGTGTTAGGGAAGTGAGGTTTGTGGAGAGGGTGTTTATCATGGTGTCGGTTATGTAGTCGACCGAGAGGGAAAGTCTCTGTAGGTTAGGAAAATGGTTAGGCGGAGGTGGGGGGAAGTGGTGGTTCGGGGGGGCCGCGGCAGGGCTGAGAAGCTCGGTTACCATCACGGAGGAGATGTAACCGAGCTCGAGGGAGGTCAGAGAAGGCGGAGCCACGGACCAGACACGCGCAAAGTTGTGGCGGAGGAATATGGAGACGTCGAACATCAGGATTAAGGTCTGCGGGGAAAAAAAAGAAGAAGAGAAAGAATAAGCATATTAATATTCCATTTTACTCGAGATTAGAAAAAGCAACATCGATTCCATTTACCTCGAGATTAACTTATCAGGTTGCAGAGTCTAAGTTCATTGCTGAATAATAGTTCATTACAGTCAATAAACTAATGAAGCGATTATGATATTCATCGCATACCAGAAGATATCATACTCTATGCAATGTTAGAAGACAGCTAATAGAGTTGTTGCCAAGTGCTGAGATGCAGTAAGGATGCAAGTATACAAAATGTAAGGGATCCAATGTAAATGCTTCGACAAATATGTTCTGTCATATTATAGCACAATCTGGTAAAGCAAAGAGAGAGCTGTATATTTTAGGAAGTTTACAGAAAAAAAAGAGATACAAGGAACGAATTGGACAAAACGCATGTGGCGGGTGATTCTGTAATATTGGCAAAGTGGCAGCTGCACTCTATTGTAAAAAAAAAAAAAAATGGATTTTGAAGCATTGATTCACTCAGATGATTA